TTTACGGATGAATTGAGTTCTAGTGATCGGACTTAGATGAGTACGTTTCCTATGATCAAGTGAAGTCTTGACAAGTGGCCGACAAATAATCTGGAAGTGAATCATAAGAGGTAGAGAGAAAGAGATGTTCAGTGTTTAACCATTGATTGTGAAAGAGAAGTGATGACCATGGTGTACTCGAAGATAAGAAAAAGACTTTCACTATAGGAGAGGTGGAGAACCATAGTCCTTTGTTTGAGGGCAGGATGTTGGGTACAAACAAAGTCTTACATCAGACAAAATAAGAAATGGACATGAGTTTATATACATCTAACATACCTTCATTGATAAGAGGTTTTCTGAACTGGTACCAAAAACAAATCTGTTAAAATTAAAAAGTGGATATTTTTTGTGATTTTGTTCTCTTTAGTTTATCGGGTTGATTATCTGTGAACAACACTTTAAATTTAAGTTAGTGTTCTATTAAAATAAAACTCAATAAATTTAAAAATATTGAATGTTTTACTTACATATATGTATTTATAAATATTTGAATGAGCCTTTTATCTTAATAATAACTTAATAGCAGCCCAATTACCTTTTAATATTATTAAACATAACAATCTTATAAATTATTATTATAACAACTTTTATACTTAATATGTTATTCAATTTTGTTGTAAATATTGTTAAATGTTTATTTGTAAATCACATTTCTAGTTATAGTGAATATATTTCTAGCTGTAGGGAATATATTTCCATCTTCATTTAAAATGAAAATCTTCAATATTTTTGTTCTAATTCTGGAAATTGCAATATATAACTGATTATACTTACATACTGATATATGCATCTAAAAAAAATTGGCACACGTTTGTTAAAAAATTATCTATTTGGAAGGATATTTACAAGAAAAACATCTCAATGCTACATGTCACCAGTAATGTACTTCTCTTTGACTTAGTTTCATCCTATTATATTATATAACTTGTTATATTTTACATTTATTTAAAAATATGTATATGTTTAATAAATGACCCATCACTTTATATTAATCCTCTCAATTAAAAAAGAAACTTGAAATCTTTGGTCGTTATTAACTTTATTAATGAAATTATATATATATATATATATATATATATATATCTTTAACTCGTTTTTTTTCTTACCTTTCTTAATTCATTCTATCTCTCTATTTCTATATCTATATCTATCTATTCTATCGTCTCTCTATATCTATATCTATATATAAA